TCTCCAGCCAAAATGGTAAAGTCGATATTTTAATAACCAAATAACGTTTATAATATCATTACAAATAAATAAATAATATATCCTTACAGGCAAAAAAAAAGTTAGATGTCTTAGAAATAAAATTAAAGAATTCTCTATTTGTATTACAAATTACAGCTATATACTTTTTTCGAAAATATTTATTAAAAGGTGCAAAAGTTAAAAAAATATGTACTGTAGAAAGTAACTCGTGTATAAACATGCGGGGGTTTAATGACTTTGAGATAAAAATGAATAAGGTAGTCCATTATAATATAAGAAGGTAAAGGACGCGAGTTGATATGAAAATAAAACAGGCTGTAGTTCACTTTAAAAAGATAATTTGCATGAAAATTATGACAGAACACGAGCAAGCCACCGGAGCTTTATTGTGGAGCGGCGAATATTGCTCGACGGTTGCCCGCGGAGCGGAAGCATTAAGGATCTATATGAAGCTGGATACACCATTTTGCATTATAACACTACTGCGAATTTTACACTTTATACAAAACCAGCAATGGATGTAGTAGAAGAGATAATTTCGCTTTCCAATTATCGAAAATCGTACTGCCACCAAAAGAGTTATAATTTAGCACACATGAACATTTTCTTGCTTTGTCATGTTTTTTAATTTCATTGTGTGCTACAATTTACTTCGATTAAGATAGAAAATTAATGTCCTCGACCAACCAAAATTAAGCCTTAAAAAACTATGTATCGATATTCAACTAATAGCCGGTTTACTAGCTACTTTTAAATATTCGTTAGTGTTGTTGGTTCGATAAATGGAATGCGTTTCTGAATTACGTAACTTAAGTTTTACTGCGTTGATACATATTTCAATTAGTCGCTAGGTAATCTAATCTAACTAATATTATAAATGCGAAAGTTTAGATGGATGGATGGATGGATGGATAGATGGATGAATGTTTGTTAGCGTTTGTAGCCTAAACGGCTGAACGGATCTCCATGAAATTTGGTACAGGTTTAGAGCATAGTCTGGAAGAACACATAGGCTACATTTTATCCCGGGAATAGTTGCGGTTCCCGTGAGATTCATTAATTTAGTTTTTTAATGTTTACTCGATCGTTCTGCAACGGTTCAACATATCTTATTGAAATTTGGCACAAATATAAAACAAAGTCTGGAGTACACATGGGATAAGCTTCATCCCCGATAAGTGTCCGGTTCCCGAGGGATACGTAGCTTTTTGTATTTTATATAGTTCGTATGTTTTCTAATGCCATGCGGATGAAGTCGCGGGTGACAGCTCGTTATCAAATAAATGACAACTTGAGGAACATAACATAAGTCGGTTTAAGCTTATTGACAGTACTTACCTGCTTATGGAAAATACGAATTTAATCGTTTTTAAAAGATATAATGCAGACATTTAAGTAAAGTAAAGTTACCATTACTGTAGTGAAAAGAAAGAGAGAAACTAACATGAAGTTCTTACTAAACTTGATGGAATTTGAGAAGTTACTTTATATCTTTGCGACACATTTACCGCTGAGCTTAGAGGAAAAAGCCACCGAATAGTGCGTCCCTACACAAACAAAAACTGTTCCATTACTTAAGAGTCACTTTACGGAAGGACTGTACTTAAGTTGGAATTTAATACAATTGATATCGATTAATTTTGTCTACGTTTTAAGTACATGTGCGTTATTTTGTTTACGTACGTTTTGCGTTTACAATAAGGTATTTATAAAAAGCATCAGCATTTGTCGTATATATTTTTCTATTTAGGTAATATGTAGTAATGTTTATTACTTCTTCTTCGCCCATAAAAATAACGTATAATTTTTATGTAATTGTAAATTTCAAATGTAATTCTATGTTATTGTCATTCTAAATTCTTATTCAAGTATTCGTTTCGGATAACGGCAAATACAATTCAAGCGATTTTGAATCTTTCGCCAAACTGAAAATAGCTTATCCAACCGAACTTCTGTTCTTTAATTTCATGGCGCTTTTTTAGACAAATCTTAGTCCAGATGGTAGCAACAGTAGTAACTAATTTACTAGTAGCAAGATTTATTTTAAAACCAATTACGTTTCAAATATTTAATTATAATACAAACGCAATTTAGACAAAAGCTATCTAAAGTTAAATGGAGAGAATACCGGTTACGAAGTAACGTTATAAGGACTAACAGTTTAGAGGCGAGTATCTGAGGGTAAGGCGTCTGTGATGCTAGGAAACGTGACCCGCATGCTCGTATCCCCTGCGGCCACACCGACGATATTTGCTTTTTTTTATTACCGCATCCATATTTCAACAGGAATACCCTCAACAATATTTGGAAGTAGTGAGAGCACTAATGCGTGCGTGGCGGGAAAGATGATTCAAAGACCCCTTTTCAATATTCCCAGCGAGATACAAAAAAAAACGCAATTGAATTGTTAAGAGGAATAAAGTTCGCAACTTTATAAAAGTAACATGTTTTAATTGAGGTAATTTAATGCTGAACCTAAAGGTGGAACTTAGTAATAATTGTTATTTAGATACAAAGATAGATGTTTAGATAATCTAAGTACAATATAATATGTAATATTAAGTCAATTTAATTATCACTTTATTTTCTTTTTTAAATATGCTGAGTTTCCATTTAGTTCTAAGCATTAATGAAATAAAAATCGTTTAAAAAAAACATACGGCCGTTCCGATTACGCTTCGCTATATGTATAAGATTTTAGAAGAAAGGATTTCAAAATTAAATCTCTCCAGTTTCCTTGCGCTGCCGGAAATTAAGGTCCGTTGCAATAAAGAACTGTTTATTCTGTGAGTTTTTTTTTCTTGTAATAAATTGTAAGTTTATTGGCGTTTCGTAGACTTAGAACTAATCATATAGTAATACACTCCGGTTTCTTGATTTATAATTGTAATGTAATTCTTTCCTAAATGTGGAAAAAAAGAGGTTAAAGAAGACACATAAAAAGTGATAGAGCGTTGCTAAAGCAAATGACAACATCTCAAATATAATTTTCTAGAAACTCTAAGCTACAGGTGTTAATACACATTTGTTAATTTATTAAATACACCTACTATATTTCTCCCTTACATTTCTCATATAGATAAATTTGTAGATAATATTCCCCAAGTAATAGAGTAACAGTGTAACATTAAACATAAATTAAGGTATATAAATCAAGTTGTACTTACTACTGGAATACGAACTTGGAGTAACTATTGACTGAGTTTATCTCCCAACTACCTACGTTATAACTGCAAACTTAGTGCTTGAGTAATATCAAATATTCAAGTCTTACATTGTCACATTAATATTCCCCCGCATTTCTTGTTAAAATAAATCCCACTAAAGACGCAATTAGATAATCTGTCTCAGAAATGTGTGAACGAAAATGTGAAACAATGACTTTCTCGATAACAGGATGACCGATTAGAAATATTTCATTGTCAGAAGAAGATTGGAGAAGCATTCATTGGGAAAAAACGGACACAAAGGCTTCTTTTACAAACAATTTTAGGATAAGTCTCTAAACATTTCGGAAATATTTTATCAATTGTATAAACTTTTGTTTCTCTATTAAACCTCGATTTTTTAATTTATTACTTCGAACAACGATTATAATTAGTCAAATTAATCACTATTGTAATGTAAAAAATACTTGCAGTGTAGAAGTAAAAATTTTCGACGTAAATAAAACTAATGCTTTAGGTTAACATATTTTAAAACAAGCAATCGTGTAAAGATCTATTTGAAATAGGTTTAGCCACAAACGTTACAAGCAGAGTAACGGAAAAATGTATAGAGAGAAAAGTGTATTGTAGGCATTTGATTGTACCACATAGCTAGGGGAGAATAAAAACAGAGCCAGCCTTCTGTAGAAACGAGGGCAATTAGAGTCAGCTCCACAAAATAAGGGTACCCGTTGATTAAGTTGTAAACTATTTGAAAGCAATGACAAGTATCCCCTTGTCAGTACAGGATTGTGAAGGGTGAAATTGTAAACGCCGGTCAATTAGGTGGATAACAATTCGTTTCGAATTCTATATAAACAACTGGATTTAAATGAAGAAGCTTTGTTTATCGCCTACGAAATTTTAGTAATGTTATATCTATACAAGTATCATTTATTTAACGTCCTTTTCCACTGTCCAATTGCACGGTTTATAATTAAACAATACAGTGGCGTTTTAAATCGTTTAAGGAAATCTCGAGTCAATAACATTTTAACCTTGTAGTACTACTGTTAATAAATTGTAATAGCGTTGTTTTGCAGATATCAGCCATATTTCTCTTAACCAGGATATTCGATCTTTCAGAGTTGCCGGGTTCCCGCGGTCTGTAAAAAACAAACAACCTACGTTAGACTATGTTTCATAATCTAGATAAATAAACATTACTAATGATAACAAAAATAAATGAGAATTTTACAAAGGTGATTTTCCTAGTCATTATGTAATTGACAAAACAATACATATTGCAGTAGCAAAGTTACACGTAACAAAATTCGTAAAAATATAATATTTTCTTGTATACTAATTTAATAAATCTTAAACAGACACTACTTCGTGGCATAGGATGTCAGCAATAACGGCATATTTTTAATAACTATTTCTTCAATATAAAGCTCTACACCACGACCCGCTTTAGGCTTTATATTTGCACGCTATTAAACTTAAGGGGTAAATGTATTTGGAAAAATAATTACATATAGGAAAGAGACCATAAGCGCCAGTAGCCTAATGGTTTGGGGTACAGACTACCGAACTTGAGGTCGAGGGTTCGAATCCCGCCATTTGACTATTGTCGTGAACCATATCCTAGCACAAGCCTAGAGCTTAGTTGCAAAGGTAAATGACAATGTTAGTAATTTAACAAAAATCTACTCTCTAGATGAATAATTTTCACAAATCTGAAAATATAAAATAAGGTTTAGGAATTTTATGCGGACGAATCCGCACGGAAAGAGATAGTATGCTATATTATAGCTAATTCTTTTGTTTCAGTTTGTAACCAGTTCAATCGGAATGTGATATCCATGCTGGGTGCAGTGATGGCCGACTCATTTGATACCCTTCACTCGTACACAAACACCTTCCAGCTGCCTTTCATGACTCCATGGTTCCCAGAAAAGGTAAATACAAATACTACAGGTTATCATTTATACGGCCATTTTGAACATGGCTTTATGAATAATAAAATAAAATTACGACTTTTAACAATAATTTAGTTATGGAAAAGCAAATCAAACGAAAGATGGATGAAATTTAAGAATCTAGAAGTTTAAAAAATATACGGCGTTGTGAGAGTTTCGTTGTTGATAATCCTAACATATAAGACAACAGAAAAATAATTAAATAGTCGTTTCTTTCTAACTTGAGTACATTTTATGCTGTGTATTCTTAACTGAAATAAATGTATTACTTGAAAAATTAAACCCCTCAATGATGTTTTAAACTTCCGTAAATACTCCGTGATTCTATTATCAAATGTAAACTGTTTACTGTTAACTAAGCCACTGTTTAGTTTACGATCTCGACAGAGTTTGATTTTGAATCAAGTTGATCTGTGTACACGTTTCTAATGTTTGCATCAGGTTCATCGTTTCACAGTAATGTACCCTGGGATAGTCCATCGTTCACGAGTCTCTCTTTATACGTACTAGCTAACGCCCGCGATTTCCTCCGCGTGCAATTAAAATAAAATCACGTAGTCTATTTATTCTTTTAGAATCTTTCGCAGTTTTAATATTAGTGGGATTGTAGCTTTCATCGCCTTGCAAAAAATAAATAATAATCATATCTATCATAATATGTAAAATAAATTAAATAACATGATTTTGTATAGATGTTTCAGCAATAGACGTCGTGGTCGATGCAAAGCTAGAAATGTACACTACATTGCACTTTATTTAACGCTTTTGACCTCGTTTGATTAGTTCAAACCCTATAGCAGTGATGGAGCTATTAAGTCCAATTAACTTACGAGTAGAATCTGCGTTACTACACAGAGATAAAAAATATATATTTAATATATAGAATAGTAGGGACAGAGAAATAAACCAAATGGTTTTTACTTGTGGTCGCCTGCGACTTTGATCTCGCACGATTTAAAGAAATCCTCGTCTGTAATATTCCTGTGTGCATTATTAGTTCAGCTACGTTCTCGTCAAAGTAGGTCCAGCCATTTCGAAAATTGCCCAAAACAAAGCAACTTGCGGACAGACAGACAAATTTCTTTTAATTGGATTGACGTCATCAGCAACGCAATTAAATAATGTTCGCGAAATGTGAATTTAATTTTATATCACATACAGACATTTCAATTTTATTTACTATATAGATGAAAATAAGAAAATTGATTTTACATATTTATGTTATTTGTAAAGTTAACTTCTTGTGGGTGTAAATACTCGTGACGCAATAATGGAATATATTATTAGTTTCGAAGATTTACGCAGCTTCGTGTACGAAGGGCCTAAGAGACAGAAGGCGTAATAAGTACGAGTATTATGTGTTTGGCAATGCGTTGGCAGGAGTCATATAACGGATAGCTTTTTAAATGGATGTAACATAACTCAAAATATAAAAGAATATAACCATAATCAAGCTAAAAGGCAGCTACATTACTGTCATGCGAATTTTTACATAAAAATGCCATTAAGCAAACGTCTAAATTTTTTTCCCCGTCTTGAATTTCAAATGGAGAATAAAATCAAATTGCGTTTGCACCGTTGTTATATAACTTTGTGCTTTGTGCTCTCAATGTTATTGGATCCACGATCACTTCTCACGACTACATACAGTTCGCACATAAAGTTGTATGAGTTCTGACATCAGGTGTTTACCGTCTCCAGTAGCGTTTGTGATAATATTACTTCACGTTACTACACTCTAAATTGAATTGGAAAGCAAACAAAAGATACTCAAACTCCTGTCATTAGAACTGAATCTATTTTAACAAATGAACCTTCTGTGAATACTTGTGTGTGTACTTGGTCGAATTTGTTACTAATATTTTCTACTACCAACGGTATGAAAAAAAAGCGGTGTAAAAGCGTTAACAGAATGTTTATTAACATCATGAAAATAGATACAATAGTTTAAGTTCTTATTAATAAGGTATAAAATATTTTGATGGCGCTTTCTTTATAAAAATGTTGTTTTAAATGTTTTAAAAATATTTTTCCACGTAATTTTAAAATTAAACAAGGACATCCCCTCAACAATTGCGGAAATGTTTGCCAACAGAACAAACACTTATTTCGAGAACACGTTGTCGTTTGCATAGCCGTTTGTAGTTTTTATTGCAAAAGGCAACCAAATTTGTCCATGTTTTCGATTTGCACGCTTTTTACTACATTTTCAGTGGTTAATATGCTTAAAACACATGTTTAATCTATTCTTTTCAATAACTATGTTATAAATATGTGAATTATTAAAAATCGTAATAGTTATTATTAGTTTTAATTTAAATCTTGGATTTGGACGCAACCTTAATCTATTAATAATCCATACCTAGATAATAAGAATGTTTGCGATATCTTTAGAGATGTAACTATTTTCGTTGAATAAGTCAAAATATTCTTTGTCTCTTTACTTTCATTCATTGTATCTCTATGCATTTTGCGCAATACAAAGCCAGTGCACGTCATTGCTTTCAGCTTTGAAATACTACTTTCCTACACAGTGTGCGATTTCCGCGCTGAGTTGACCGCAAACGTTTCCTCCAACGAAATAGCTCAAATGTACTATAAATGTTCCGAAATAGTCGACAATTATTGCGAAGTGCCGCAAAATGAACCTCACTGTTTTTACAAGTCACTTTTGTTTTATCAATACTAAATAAAAGGCAAATATTGGTTGGTCGTGAATAGCAAATATTGGAAAATGTTATTAGAATTACTAGAGTATTTAATTAAATTATTCGGAGTATTTTCACCGATGATAAAAAAGCCAAAAACAATGTAACTACATTACCGGAAGTAAGTGCGCAATTCAACCACCCGTAGCCTGAACAAACAATAAAAGAAGTCTTTCTTTTGTTTTCTGGAGTCAACAAAACAGTTCACGGTTATGAGTTTTATCTAAAGCGAAACCCACATCTCGCTCCTTAATTCAAAATCCTTCGAGCATTAGCTCTACGTAGAACAAAGAATAAACTTTCCAGTGAACGACAAGTCTCATCTGGTAAATTGTCACTTTGCGGCGTTGCTATAAAATCATTACGTGTAATTACGGCCTTTCTAGTTTCTACTGTATTGTTTTGAAAATATCAATGTTATATTTTATGTAGTTTACTTTCAGCTTTCTACAATCTGTGTCATCAACACATGTTCGTGTGTTTGCACACATTGCTGGTCGTTTTATTTATTTAAATTTTAAGTTCAATTTAATAGACAAAAATTACCGTTGGAAATGGGGTTATTCCCAACCGTCACCCCGCCCTGTCCCCACGTAGAAACAGATGATAATAAAACAGTTTTATCCATCCCACCTTTTGGGACTAGGGGACGCTTGTTTATTTTATTTATAACGGCGCCATCTATCACCGTATTGGTGATAATGGGACTAAAAGGTGGGACAGATGAAACTATTCATTCCCACGTGGAGACAGACCAGGTTGACGGTTGGTAATAATCCTAAAAATGTATAGTGAAAAGAATTTTAATTAATTTTTTCAAAGGATTCTATACTTTGTTTTCCATCGAAAACTTCGGTAGTGTATTGTGAAAATATGTTTTCAGTTACAAATGAAATATAAATTTGCAGGTGATACCGCCATCGTCCGGCCTGAAGGACTACGCAGTGAGCATGCGTCCGGATTATCATCAAGCTGTGATAGATACAATCACTTACTACGGATGGAAGAATGTCATTTTCATCTACGATTCGCATGATGGTGAGTTACTTTAATGCTTTTAATATTTCAACAGATTCGATCGGATTTCAAATACCCTTTTGTTGAAATGAACTATTTCAGATTTAATCTTATTTAGAAGTCACTTAGTCAATGAATCACTGAGTTTATCGGTCGGTCAGTCTGTCCATCAGTTAGATTTTTTTTTAATTAAGTACCGACTATGTACATTATTTTGAACGATACAAAGTTACAGCTATATGGCAGTAGATTAAGGTAATACTCGAAGGAAGTAGGAAGAGATGTATCAAGTGTCACGTTGTCAGCGATTACGTAAATATCAACATTTTTTCCTAGCCAGGTGTATTTTCCTCGATTTATGTTTTCTGCTTATTTCGCAAATTGCGTAAAAGACTTTTGATATTAAAAATTATGCTATGATTTATTTTACGGTAATTATAAAACTCCTTCGTCAATAAAATATTCATTTTAATCTGTTCACATTCTATGGTATGGTTAAATAAATTGAAATTATTAATCAAATCTCAATGTTAATTTTGTGCAGTAATTGAAAGTTAGTTAAAGTAATATAAACACAGTATTACGTATTTGTGAATTTTAAATATTTGTTTTAATAAATTCAAAGAAAATAATTCCATTTGAATATTATCAGCGTAGGTATTCCTTGAGATATTAATGCCGCCATTAATATTCCTAAGCGTGATAGGTATTAAAATGTTACGCCTTTATTTCTGAAGGAAAGAAGGCAAATTCTTTAAAGTAGTCGTGTCCGGAATGCTAATTCTGTGAGACGGGCAAAATATTTTCAGCTCTCTCGCTCGCCGAGTAATGACTGCACCGTATTTACAACACGATACCGTTTCGCAGTCCCGTCACGCAGAGCCGATTGAACCCCGTACTAATGAGTTATAAAGGTTATCTGATTACCTCTACCTATCTATTGTTCACACAAAGTCGATGTAAAAAGTGCAAACAAAGCTTTAAATGCTGTCGCCGACTTTGCGTAGGTAAAAAACTCAATTGTGTTAAGATATGGTTTACGATAACAGTCGAATAGCGGAATTCGAAGCCATGACTAGATCGGTACTAATATTCTTAAACATTAAACTATTTTCGCTTCTTAAAAAATACCTTCTACACATATAATGTGCTGAATTTATATCAGTAATTGAAGCAAATTCCGACCAATCTTCTATCAATACTCGAGTAATATTAGGTGTCAGCGGGAAACATTTCATTTCATAGATAATTTCATAACAGTAAAGATTGATCTAGAAAGAGTTGAATGGATTGTGTGCAAGGGGACATGATCAAAAAGGAGTGATGACTGAGATGACGTATGATAGAGTTATGTGGAGGACGAAAACCTGTCGCGCCGACCTTACGGGAATAGAATAAGGAGAAGTATGATGATGGGATAATGTCCTAACACACTTAAGACTTCTATTGTTTTATATAGGTTTACAATATTAATAATAATGATTGATATACAATGAACATATTGTATAAGATTATATTATATTGAATAAGCCAAAACATTAATTCTGTTATACACTAATGAGGAAAAACAATAGTGATCGATTACGACTTCGGCGTTCTCAATAGTAGTGATTAATAATCGAAATGATTCCTATTAATTAACTCAGCAATGATACGCTGCTCACGACACCCTATCAGTTGGACGGTAGAATATTATCCACTACACAATCATCCAACTATTTAATTGACGGCTGGAATTAATTTAATAATGCTTGTAATATCTCATGCTCATGTTCAAATTTTAATTACACAGCTTCATAAAGTGACTTGTCCACATGATTATAGGTAACCTAACTATATGTAAATGAATAAACCGACAACAATTAACGAACAGCCAAAACTCCTGGGTTATGAGCCTTGGAATTTTGTATAGTGGGTCACTTACTACTTAGCCGAAGACTGAATTAGGACGTTATGAATTTCATCCCCTAAAAGTGGGAGTCTTAAGTAAAATGGAGCAACTTTATTTCTTCGATAAAATTACACACAAATATCAATATATTTTTAATAAAAATTTTTAATGCATTTGGTTATATTTAACCGATCTAAAAATCGCACAGCTAGCCATAGGTATAATCTATAGTTTAGAGTGTGATCAAATATTTTATACAGTCGTTTCAAAGGTTGTTCTTTCTATTAGCTACTAGCTGTTGCTCGCGACTTCGCCCGCGTAAAATATAGCCTATGTTACTCACAGATAAATTACCTTTCTAACGGTGAAAGAATTAAACTCGGCTCAGTAGTTTTTATGTTATTTCAATATAAACAATAATACAAATCTTTCCTCTTTATATTAAATACAGATGTGTAATTATACTTTAGTTAGATTTTTACAACTACATAAAGATGACTTTAGTGAATATATTGCTTAAAACATTATTCAATCGCTACTTACAACTTTTAAGATATTTTCTTCAAGCAAAACTTCTCCCAAGAACTCGAAGTAATGGCAAATTGCTAGGAACATATGGCGCAAAGCGATAAGCCTTCATATATTAACTAGCTTTCTAGCTATATACCTATTTACTTATATACTTATTTAGAGATTAATATATAATATGCAATATAAATACATTAATAAGTTCAAGCATTGACAAACGTTTCATCCGATCGGGAATAAGTTATATTATACGTATATGAAAACCTTCGTTACATACGGTTTAGTGATTCCTTTTGATAAGAAATCTTTTGAAGATGGACCTTTTGCTAAGTATTATTAATCTATTTAAAAAATAATAACAATATACTATGTAGTAAACTCGTTTACAAAAGTGATCTTAAACAATCTACAATGTGAGTTTCTATTGCCGAAACATTTGTTCAAATGTTAACTTGTTTTAAAGATAATTAGAGGGTGCGAAAAAAGTGATGACATGTCTTTGTACATGTTTTGTAACAGTGGAAACCCACTTTACTTTTAAGACACTTATCATTATTTACCTAATCTAATCTTCTGAATTCTTGTAAATTAACTACGGCTTTACAATATCTATAAATTATGTGTAGAGAAAACTTTGGATCCATTCTAAAGGTGATATCGGGAACGGATTAAAGTGAAATTTTACACAGTTAAAGTTAATATCGAGAAGTACGTGATGCCTTTATTTTTTTATAATCATTCGAAAGGTTAACGAGTGTTTTTGAAGGTAAAATAAACAAAACGCACATACCAACATAAGCGGAAATTTTAATATCATACTTATAACTTGTATTGTAACTTCATTCCTACTCTGAATTATTAAAACCGGTAAGTATCGTCAAATTTTAAAGTAGTATGAAACTATATTTGTTTGTGTTGAGTTTTCTCATTTCAAGAAAACTATTCAAAGTAAAATTCATTCTCTGTCACAGTTGCAGGATCAGCTCCTTCAAGAGAGCACTTTGCAAACGAAAAGCGCATTTACATATAAAACATGGTTCTTGTGTGCATGTAGTTGCCAGAAAATACATACCAAAGTTCCATTACCATTTTATATCTTCGCCGCCGTATCCGTCTTCATTTTCAAACGTCAATAGTTCATAAAGTAAATATCTAAAATAAACCATAATTTGGTGCAACAAGTTACATAAACACTTAGTTTATTTAATAAAGATAGCTATAAATATGTAAAGGAAACTAAAACACGTATTGGTAGTAATATTATTAATGCATAATTTTAGATGGATGGATGTTTCTTAGAAAGTCTGTAATTTAACACGTATGTGAGTTTGTATGACAAGTCTAAAAATTACACCGAAATGGGTAGGAAATTAAGTTCCTCAACTGTGTGGTAATTTAAGTTAAAATTCAATTACAGCAATCTGCGAGTAATAATCACCTCTATATGGTACTGCAGTAGTTGACATTATGAGCAATAATCCAGAGGCTAAGGGGATAAAAATGAAAAAGATATAAAATGTAACTGCGGATGTCATAGCAGGCGGAGGGGCGTCCGCGCCGGATATGATGCAGATGTCGAGTAGAGGTAGATATAAAAGATATTTGGATCTTTTATTACAACGGACATTAAAAGAAAGTGTGGCATTAAAAAAGGTCCCAAATCCAAGAACGTCCTACATAATTAGGCAGACTGGCTTTTATTAATTTATGTAATGCTAGCTTTCGCCCACGACTCCGTCCGCGTGAAAATAAAGCGATTAGCCTGTGTTCTGGCCAAACTTATCCGAGTCCTATCGAGTAGCTTAGGATATAAACTAACAAACATCCATCCATATTTTATTAACAGTCATATTTTAGGTATACTTTTGAAGTCATAATTTATTGAATAATGCCAAATGCCAAATAAAAAAAGTACAATTAGAGATATTTTAGCAACAAATAAAAAAATACTATTTTTTTCTTAAAGGACTGGTATTTTAAGGTAAATCTCGAATATCATAAATAGATTAGTATAAAAGTGGTACTAATTTAAAGGATTTATGATATATTTTTCTATATCAAAATACCGTATAAACTGTTATAATAAGAACAATAAATAACGATATTTTATACAAATAATAAACATTTTACCCAACTATAAACACGAAACAAAATATCGGATAGCGGACAAATGATATATCGCCGAAGTTTTTGTAAACACGAGTCCTATACTCATTAGCGTTGCCCATTCGAGATTCTAACATACCTTATCTGATTTAAGGCCAGTTTCCCAGCTATGTATAACCATTTTTTAAGGTTTTTGGTTTGATAACTTCATTAAATGCGTTACCTGACTACATAACTCGAGTTTTACTAATTTGAAACTTGGGTGAACCTAATACTTTTGAGTCGCTAGTTAATAAGAAAAATAAGTGGTAACTTCAGAAACCTATCATAAGTATTTTGATTACATCAATCATTAAATTCTCAACTTTCGTGAGATACTTAGGGCCTGTCCCACCACTGGCTGGCTGGATTCACCTCACTGTCAGATAAGGGACCAAAATCCGATATATCCATCACATGTTTTACACGTTCTATTGGGGCTATCAGTCAATTTACA